TTACATCTTATCTCATCTCTGGCTTTTTGTTAACCCAAGAAGATTTGTTGGGAGCTCTAGAGTAACATTCTTTTGGAAGTAACTGGATTATTGATAAGAAATCTTGAGTTGGGAATTTGTCATTGTATCAATTAGTATTCTTCGACTTTCCGTTTGCCATTTACTACCATTTTGTTCCTTTTGAATTGTTCTATGTGCAGGTTTATGGTTTTGGACTGGAAGTGGACTCTCATTTGGATTAGTCTTGAAACTAACAAGAATTCATATAATTGCTTAAAGAACACTGGACTAGCTTTTAGTTGCGTCAATATGTAATAAGATATTTTGGAATTTTATGTTGTAAATATGCAGGGCAAACTTGTATTTTTTTGTTCATTACACTGTTTCCAAATGCCTATATGTCTCTTTGTTGACTTTGAATTTGGCCAATGAGTTTCATGAACTTGCAAAGAACACCGTCGACTAGATATTGACATCAACAAAGCCTGTTCTGTATCTCCATCTACTGTTGTTTGACCAGTTCGATGAAGCTATCACCATAATCGTGCAATATCTAAGTGGTTATGGTAAATGCATGTAAAAGTTTCATCTGGTTGATAAGTAGATCGAACTGTCTATTTAGTATTGTTTGTCTTAAGGAGACTCTATAATGTAAATTATGTCGACCATAGTGGTTATTTGTTATGAACAAGCACTGAAACTAGCATCTCTCACTTGGAAACAAGAGTTGTTAGAGCAACAAGAAAAGAGGCAGCAATCATATTCTACTTTTAGCACACAAACAAATATTGCATCTCATAATTGAACCAACCAGAAATGTGAACATGGAACATATTTCAAAATTTGCGTTAATCAAAGTTTGTAATAACTTTTAGCATACTTGCCAATTATATTTGTCCAACAAAACAGGGGGGGGAAATAGTTTGTTGAATAAACAGCTATAGAATTCCTCTACTGATCAGATCATAAAACAAACAATTTTGTCTTTACACCCAAAGTGTATGTGCATGTCTCTGCCTTTGAATCTCTCTCCGCAATCATTGGATTCTCTCAACTGTTGAGCTTTGACAGTTGCTGTTTTTCCTCTCTTCCAAGGAACTCTCAATGCTTTCTTCCAAGACAGAAGAAGTAGATGATGATTCATCAATGTAACGATCACTTCTTGACAAGGATCTGAACTTGGTCAAGCAAATGACTTGATCGTGAATGAATGCGCAGCCAAGTTGTTCCAGTTCAGAGTGATACTTAAGATGATCATCGGCAACAACGGTTGGTACAATCTGATTTATGGCTAAACGAGCTTCTAATCTCTGCCTTGCAATGTATTCCCTTCGACCATCAATCTTCCTCTTTTCTTGCACTTTGTTTTTCGCCTTTGCGACCAAATCTCTTAAACTACAACCTTGCTTCTCAACCTCCTCTTCATCATTAGGTTTTGTAATAACCTTGGGCTTCGTCTTTGTTTCGTTAGGGTTTTGAAAGACCGAACATACCTTAGTAGTTAAGTTCTGTTCAAGAG